GACGAGTCCAGCAAGTGACAACAAGATACATGAGTCTGCCAACCAAATGCATATCAAAAAGTGGAGGACCAGTAACAAGTGGAAACTAATGATTTTGTTCGAGTAGAAAGGTGTCGGCTTAACCTCTAGAAACCCAATCTAAGACAAGATGTCAAGAGAATACTTTCGTTGGCCCAAAAAATGCGATAGGAATTGTGAGCCACCTCCAAACTCATAAAATATTCAGAAGTTTGAGATTCTTCATATGAAAGCATCGACTTAAATAAGAGGAAGAGATAGCAACTCTGTTATTCCCAGAGATGGCTCGACCTGGGTCTGGGACCGTCCAAAAAACTAAAAATAAAAAATAAAACAAAATATATGGTGATTTCTCAAGTCGGCCCGACCCGCTGGGCCAAGATCGAAAAACATGACCCTTGATCGGCCCGATTAAAATTCAAGCCTGAGCAGGACCCAGACCCGTGTGCAACGGGCTTGACCATGCTAGGTCTGGGCCGAGACTGTGGGTCGGGCTGCCCCTGGCCATCTCTAGCACAAACGCAAACTAGTCGGGGCACAACCCTAAATAATTTATGATCATCTTCTTAATAAATTGAAAAAAAAAAACTATTCTTACTATTCTTCAGCACCCACAATCCATGGATCCTCGCCCGAAAATCTCAGCCACGAGACCCTAACCCATATCCTTTCTCGCCCGATCTTCGTCGTTTCTCAGCCGCTGAGCACCTTTCTCGGCGGGTAGCCGAACCCTTAGCCGGCTGATGGCCCGTAGCGCGCGGCCATGCTCCAATTGGGCTTCCCTCCAAGTTTTCTCGGCTTAGACAGTGGGTTCCTGGCGCCCTGCGGTCGGCTCAGCCCCTGTATGATGGTCGACTGCGAGTTCTACGACTCCTCTGTCTTTTTGTGTATGATTTTTTTACCCCGACGGAGGATTCCCGGAGTCCTTTGGTTGACCCTGTTTCTGTAGGGTGGTCGATGGCGGGTTTGATGGGTTCTCTGCCGATTTGGGTCTGATTGTCATATGGAGGTGTGTGTTT